CTACTGAGCATGATTGGTTGCTTGCTGGTGAGATTTGTGAGAAATTGGAGTGGTTCTATCGTTTGACCAATACATTTTCTTCTACGAAGAACCCAACTATGAACACAATTGTTATGGGTATTTGTGAGCTTAGACTTCGAATGAATACTTGGCTCGATTGTTCATATCCAGAGGTGGTGAGTATGGCCGAGAATATGATCGAGAAATTCAAAAAATATTGGAAGGACATACATATTATTTTCTCATTGGCACTCATTTTGGATCCTAGATTCAAGTTCAAAATGATTGATTACTACTACGACAAACTACATGGAGCCGATGCTTGGATAGAAAAAGAGAAGATCCGAAATGCGTTGTGTGAGTTTGAAAATGCATACAAATCTAAGTCTTCAGATGCTCTTTGTGGTGTCAATGGGAGCTAATCGTCATCGACTTCTCGTACTGTCGAAGGAAACAAATCAATGTTGGGGTCGGATTCCACAAACCTCATTGTGCCTATGGACAACATTGAAGAGTATTTAAGTGAGCAGTGCGATGGTCAAAATGATAAGTCTGATTTCGATAGGTACTTGGCTGATAAATTGTTGCCTCGAAACAATGAGTTCGATATCTTGACTTGGTGGAAGACATAGGGCATTAGGTATAGCACATTACGTTTGATTGCTAGAGATATTTATGCCATTCCTGTTTCTACGGTTGCTTCAGAGGCTGCTTTTAGCACGAGTGGTAGAATTCGGAGCAAGCATCGGAGCAGACTCATCCCAGACACTTTGGAGGCATTGATGTGTTCCCAAGATTGGTTGTGGGAAACAATGGATGGTTTGATATATATTTTATTCGATATTTATGAATTGAGTAATTTCATTATTTATAATAAGCTAACTTTATTTTTTATTTTTTAATAATTGTTTTTCAGATGGAGCCTCCACGTCCTCTTTTCCACCACCTAGAGTGTCTAATGGTGCGACTGCTTTCACTTGTGATGAGGACGAGGAACAAGAGGTAAACAAATTAAATTTTGCTCTATTCTTTGTTTATATTTTTGTTTGCGCATTATTTATAAGTTGTATACTTTTTTTTTTTTTGCAGGAATTTGTTGGCACGTCAACATAGCTTATTTTGAGGGAGGAAATAAGAGCAAGAGGTAAACAAATTAAATTGTTTATCAACTATTCGAGTATATTTTTATTTATGCATTGTTTACAATTTTTGTAGGCTTTCATTTTGCAGGAATTTGTTGGCACATTCATGTAGCTTATTTTGAGGGTGTAAACATGGCCTCAAGCAGTAGTTTATATTATGTTATTTGGTATTTGATGTCGAGTGGTGGGACCATTTGGAACATATTATTTTCATGTACTAATTGAAGTTTCATTCATCCATTTTGAACTATTTAATGCATATTGGTTTATTATTTCTAAAGTGTTTTACATTTGAATTCACTTGGGAATGTAATTAGAATTCATTATTATGTGTGGTAAACTGGTAAAGGGATCTTGTTGCTATTTGTAATGGTATGGTTGTTATTTGAATGAATGTGCATTTTTTTATTTTTTTTAGGTACAACACGGTCGGGTCGGGTTGGGTTTAGTGTATTCGGGTGAGATTTGGGTAAGTGGGTAAAAATAATCCAATCTAACCCGATGGCTAGAACAATTTGGGTACCAAATTACCCGGTGGGTACCCAATTACCCGACGGGTAAAACCCAACCCGAATCCGTGATGGTTAATCGGGTAGCGGGTCGGGTATGGGTGCATTTTTTAGTAAGTGGGTCGGGTATGGGTATGCCAAAACCCGCACCCGACCCTACCCATTTACATCCCTATAGATTCTGCAAGGTTCGAGTTTGCATGGTTTGGAGCTTTATATCATGAGATATTGTTGTTTTAGTGACTTGCTGTAAATTGATAAATAGTTGCGTTGGCAGATTTCTTGACCTATGTATTTTATGCTTAAACTTGGTTTTAAAGTCATTGTTGGCTTAAGTGATCAATATGAAAGTTGTGTATATATGTGTTAGTTGCCATTGGTTTTGGAATCACCTGAATAGCATATATATAACCCATGTTATCTTGGAAATACTGAGACATACGAGTTGTTCATTTTCATTTCTGAACTACAGTTATGTTTTGTGTCGTTGTTGAACTATGTGGCTAATTTATATCACATAAGTGTAGTTAAGTGCTCCTGTATTGGATAGTCTTTCATAGGACTATTTTGTGTAATGTAGGTGTGTGACGAGCTGTGTCTTGGCCTACCTTTTTCCCTCAAATTATTGTGGTTTCGTCCTTCGGATACCAGGTGGGTTTAATTTGAAAAATTGCTATGCCTTAAATGTTATTATTGTTATTATTGGTTTACTTGTTGTAACGCCCCGTTCGATTTATAGAATTTCTTGGAATATTCTATTCATCGAATATTATTTATAAGGTTAGATTTATTCTTTTTAGTCGCGATGTCGACTTAAATAAAATATTGGAGTTATTATTTATTTTTCCTTATTGTTATTTGTCCTCTTTATTATTATTATTATTATTTGCTAGTGCTATTATTATTATTATAAATATTATTGCTAAATGCCTAAAATGCTTATTTGCTATTATTTGTTGTTATTAGTATCATTATTATTATTACTATTAATTGTCTAAATGTTATTATATAAATATAATTATGTGTGTCGTTCGATCTATTTTATTTATCGTTCGCCGTTCGGTAATTTTCGGCTTTAACCGTGAAAGTCGTATCCGTTCCTTTTCAACCCGTTTCTTTGGCGTTTCATCCGAACATTGGAATTTTAATTTTTTCGGCCCAAATGTATTTATTTTTCATCCCGCTAAATACCAGCCCGAAATCCATTTGAGACCCGCCCCAAATTGCATTAGAAAAATATGGCCATCCCTTTTCATGATTGACTGGATTTAAATTTTGTTTCAAATTCAAGCAATGAAACTCTTGTTTTGATAAGTAAATAAATAAGCCCCCTTTTTCCTCATATTTATGCTTAGATTGTTATTAACTTTTGGCAACTTCAAGTCATTCCTTTTTATCGGTCAAAGGGGAGAGAAAACCTTTATTTCTCTCCAAGATGAGTGAGATATAGCCAAATCCCTCCAGCCTTGGTTTTGATGGAAGAGAGCAGTGAAAGAGGAGTTTTTCCTCCTCTCAAAAACACATTCTCAGCTCTCTCTTGCCACAACAAAAATAATCCATCATCCATCACCACCTTCTCGCTACTCCATCGCCGGCGCAACCTTCTTCTACTCGCGTGACTAGAAACCCGCGAGCAGTCCCGGGCGTCATTCGCGATCAACCCCACGGCCTCTGTTCGAAGTAACCACGACCATTCAGGCCTGTTTTGCTACTTCTGTTCACTGTTGTGTTACCGTTGATCGTGCGCCACCATTCATCGCGAGACGAGCGACGCCGTCGAGCCCGGACACGCGCACCCTTACACCGTTTCAGTCTCTTGTCTATTTTTGTGAGATAATCCCGAGAACAGTAGTAAGGCTCGAAACCCCTTTCGATTATTTATGTGATATTAACATTTTGCGGTGATCTTTTGAGATAAGGCATGCTATGGTTTATTGTTCATGATATTGTGCGAGTGTGGTACTCATTTTATGTGGCATGTTGTTAATTATCGAGATCGAGTATGCTGATGATAGGTTGTCCCCTTGATATATATATGAAAATGATGCTCATATGATCTAATGGTGCTATCTAAGGCATTGAGAGCTATTTTAATGTGCCTTTGGAAATTCATGAATTATTAAGATTTTTGTTGTTCTGTTGTGCTACTATTTTGATCTTCTTAAACCCGTAATTTGATGTTATGTCCTTCTTATAAATTGTAGTATTTTCTGTTGGCTTTCTCTGGGCTCTGGAATCATATGATTCCGACTTGACATGAATAAGTTACGATTTTTACAAAATTGTCGCGTGAGCAGTTTTTAATAAGACCCGGCAGCATGTGGTGTTAGATGTTTAACCTGTTTGGTGTATCATAATGTGCTCAAACTGAAAAGTGTTTTTCATATGAGTAGTAGCATTTTGAGTTATGGTTCTGTGAGTTTTTGATTTCGAAATTCGGAGTTGATTTGATTT